CAAAGTACTGCACCTGCCACGAAATCTGCACTTCAAGGTCAGCAAAGTACTGCGCGCGCAACGAATTCTGCACTTCAAGGTCAACAAAATATTGCACATCCACTGAGCCTATTTTGGACACCCCGATTTCAGGGACCCCCTATTAGAAAAAATGTGACCGAGGTTTTTTTAATAGGGGGGGGCCGTGTTTATTATTAGGGGGACGGGATTACTAGGGGCTCCTGGCCTTACTCTAGGAGCAAGTCTACTAGGAACAAGATACACAAGCAATCAATAAGCCCGCTTTTGGCGCGCCCTTTTTCACATGCCACGTGATCTAGCAAAAGAATCTTGCGCGTCAATGCCAAGCACCAGCAATGCAAAGCAATCTCAAACTCTGGCACCGCGTTGGTCAAAGGCGCCGCGTTTGACAGAGACTAGACCATACTACCCCCATCTCCAAGACCACGATTTGCGGGATCTTTTGTCATTGGTCGACTTAATTCTAGTTGAAATGTAAAGACTTTGTAATCATGCAAAGGCCCGCCCTACGGATTCTTTGCTGTCCTAAACTTGGGACGAATGAATAAGAGCCTCCTACCAGCTTTGGAGAACTTTTAGCGTCACACACACTTCGTTGGGGAAACCGGAGCTCCCGCTTCAGTTCCGGGTTTGGACTCCTGGTTCAGCTCTTGTGCATCTTTGGTGCGTTCAGACCAGTTTAGCCCATCGTCTCGGTTACTTCACAACGGCACCGTGCTTGCGGGAAGTGCTCTTGCAACCGAGCAAAACCGAAACACCCAAACGAGCACGAACCGACCTAAAAATAGAAAAACACTGAACCAAATTGGCCAGCCAAGTCACTGACTGACATGAAAATCAGTTTCAGCGAAACCAATCGAACCCAACATAGGTTTACCGCTTATGCACATCTTTGCACTTGTTGCAATGACAAAGAAACAACAAAAACATACAACACATTTAAGGGTATTGATTGGACATGTCAAAGACCATCTATGTCCCATGGCATCCCAGTGCTATGGCCTCTGCTTGGTCTTGGGCTGGGCGGCAAAGAACACTTACAGCATCAAGACCTCGACGGAAAGCAAACCTTGCCTAGGCCTAATCATAAAACGCTTAGGTTAGAGTTAGAGGCCACCCCTAGTAGGTTAGAGGCCATTGCTAGTGGGGTGGAGGCCATCGCTCTTAACCAGAAATAAACGATCCGCATGCCTCGTGTGCGCCACGTCTTGAAATCAGAAGGCCATCGATTCTCCACAAACCACCTGAGCCCCCAGTTGCTGTTGTGTTGCCTTTTTCGGTCTTTAAAACATGCATGACTCATCTTACCAAATCTTGCCCCTGTCCCGCTGTTTGCAAAGGGTGAGGCTTTTCAAGCAAAGTCGATCCATCTCTGCTCCTAAGTGTCTCTTGAAAAGAAATCGCCAAAGACACAAACTTAGCTCACTCAAACTTCATCAAGTGCCTTAAATACGACGCGCTGTCAACGCTTTTGGCGGCCTTTCTTCCACTGTACACATCATCAAAGGCCTCATGTGATTGCCTGTCTCAATCACGAACACACAGAAACAGAATCGAAACAACATCTCCGCACAAAGTGGACGACTCTGCCTTCTGTCTGGCTCATCAAAGCTGGCTCCACCTTTGATGTGCTGAGTGCAAACATGCGCACATAAAGCATGATGATGAAACATAACTGCAGGATACTGCAAGGTGCTTTTAAGTTTGCAAATTATCTAGGTCCTGGGTCTTTCCCGGCCTTTTGCGCACTTGGTGGAACAGGATCTGTCGAAAACTGTTGCGCCTGTCTCTCCTCCAGAAAGTGACGCCAACGCTCTTTGCATAAAGCACGTTTTGTACAAGCTGGTCCTACAGTAAAACCGACATGGTGCAATGCCAAGCTGGTTCAAGCGCAGCCACTGATTTTTTGTACCGCTTCAGGGTTTGAGACTCTGTTCCTTGACAGAAGAGATACTTCTCGGCCCCTGGAGGACCGTGAAAATTGGAAGATGGAAACACTCCATACTTCCATAGAAAGCCGCTTATATACTTGTGCTGTACAAGTCTTTCTGAGCGGCTGCTCGCTGCCGGAAGGCCCTCCTTATTTTTGTTCAGGAGGATCAAAAAAGGTTCCTCGGTCTACCACGTTCTTGGTCAGGCCGGAGATGCCTGGAACTCCATCCGGATCCTTGCCATCGAGATTGCAAAGGACCGCATACCTGAGACGCATAAGACTGGTACAAGGCGGGCGGATACTGGTTGATACTCTGGTTGATACTGCTTGGGCCTAAAATGAGAAGCATTTCGACATATGTTCGACTCTGCGAAGAGTTCAGCACTTTCTGCGTTTAAGAACTCAGTTTGCTTGAAGAACTGGAGCCCGGAACTTGAGTTTCCATCTCTCTCAACTCAGGCTACAACTCGGGCTACCTCCGCTTTCTCCTACTGGACTCCTACACACCAACAGCCTACCTGGCCTACCCCTCCTGAGATGGAGCAATATTTCAAAAGGCTTCACCAGCCAAGATGCACTGAGATGCCAAAGGTTAAGGCAAACGTGAGGCCACCAAGGATGGATGCTGCCTGGCAAGGATTTGCGCCAAGAACGTGTTGTTTTTTGTTAATATAGTGGCCTCCAACCTAAAAGCGTTGGCCTCCAACCCAAGAGCTATGGCCCAAACCTCAACGCGTTGGCCTCCAACCTACTAGCCATGGCCTCCAACTTAAGAGCAATGGCCTCCAACCAAAACAGCAATGGCCTCCAACCTAAAAGCGATGGCCTCCAACCTAAAAGCGTTGGCCTCCAACCTACTAGCGATCGCCCCCAACTTAAGAGCAATGGTCTCCAACCTAAAAAGCGATGGCCTCTGACCTAAAAGCTATAGCCTGCAACCTAAAAGCGATGGCCTCCAACCTAAGGGCGATGGCCTCCAACCTAAAAGCGATGGCCTTCATCCTAAAAGCGATGGCCTCCGACCCAATAGGGATTGCCTTCAACCCAAAAGCAATGGCCTCCAACCTA